AATCGATTTAACTCGTCTCCCGTTTCACGAAAACACCGAACGTACATCCCGATAATTGACAACGATCGCGATTGTTCTTGAACCCGAACTTTCCTCGATAGATTCTTTCGCTTCATTGCGGCGCGCTGTTCACGTCTCGATGAAAACGAGCTGATAAAACGCGACGACCGCTTTATCTTCGGGATTTTTCGCGTGATTAGAAGGCATTCCATTGCAGCGCTAGGTTCGCGATAATGAAATCTTTCTCGCTTCTTATCAATCGTAATTTTCATTGATATCGTAAGAGCGCGCCTCGTGGACGAGTTTACTGTTTCTTAGAATTTTTAGTTGAAGTTTCATCATCGTTATCGTGTTCTGCGAAATGTTGGACACCGAGAAATATGAAAATTCCGTAAATTTCCTGAACTACTTCGCAGGAAAAAAAACTCATCTAGTTTTCGACGCGTTGCACCAGCTGCGCTGACGTTCGCAAAGCTTTTGATCGGATTTGAAAGTTGAAAGTTTCTCCGTGTTAGAACGAAAAAGCTTGGAAAAAAAGGTCTATCAAAGACGAAAAAGCGACCGAAGCTTTCCCCTCGTGTCAGACACGACAAAAAGATGAATAATGTGTAATTAAATTTCGCGGCAGACTATCGCGAAAAATTCTGCGTGATTCAGCGATTACTCGACGAAGTTCATTGTGTTTTAAATGAAAAATCCTGTCCGCTGAAAATCAGAAACTACTTTTTCCCATAAATAAATCACGATTAAATCGAAACTCTAATTATCTTTTCAAATTCATGAATTTACCACTCGTGAAATAATTTTATTTTTGCAATGAAAATATTACCTCCGTTAGTGGTTGATCTTTTCCTAGCAGCAAATTTTCGTGTCAGTTGCCGGATTGCGTCGCGAAAGAGCGGAAAAATTATATCCGGACATTTTTCAAATCTACAGTAAGGATTTACCTACATGCCCCTGCCGGCACGAGGGTTGAATCATATTTTATTCCGTTATTCTTCCAAGTTGTTTCCGAGTTTTAAAGTCGACGTACACGGGAAGAGAGGAAAGGATTTCGTAAAACCTCCGGCAATTTTCCTTGCGTCTCTCTTAGCTCGTCTATGTAAATAGGATAGCATCGGCACGAATGTATTTCCGACGAGATTTTACCGAGCTTGGACCAGCAAACGTTTTTCCAACTTATCGTTTTCGATTCGAGAAAATTCGAGTCTGCTACCCATCCCTATTTACGATGTATCTATTTAGAAAAAAAATCCAAGCTTTTCAGTTTTCATAATTTTGTCACTTTTCTTATATTTTTTCTACAATCATTCAATTTTATTTAATCCGACGAGCCGTCACCGTTGATCCCCACGTTAATCAGATTGTTGATGATGATTGATCGTGAGATTATAAAGACGCGATCATCATTGCGTAACTAAACGCTGTAGTTGTTAATAATTATACGCTTCTCTAACCTAATCTCCAGCGCAGCCGTGTAATTTTCATTTTCCCGTTTTTAATTCTGATTTCCATTCGAACCGGTTTTTATACCACGGTGAAGAAGCTTCCAGTGTGTTTATCGTTCGCATAATGTACGCAGAGCGAGATAATACTTATCTAGTACATGTTAAAAGCGAACCAAGATAATCTTAAACGGTTTTCCTCTACGCAGGTGGAATGAAAACGAGCTAATAGAAATTTCTTTCCGCGAAACATACAATTCGTGTTGATAGATCAAATCCATAGTGTCAGCAAAAGAATCCTAAGAAATTGGTGTAATTACACAAACAGAAACTTGTCGGTTGCGAGGTTCAGTTAATTCAGAGTGCCGCGAGGGGAGGAAACGAAAAAGTTTTGGAAAAAAATCGAGGAAAAAGCTGGTTGCGGGTGGAGCCTTTAATTCTGTGGAAGAGCGACCCGGAAGTGGGCTCACGTAGAAGCTAATTGAATTTCATATTCTTCCGCGCATCGCGAATCGAGAGCTTCCAGCGAGAGTTCCCTTGTAATTAATTACCATTCGAGCTTGCGCCGTCTTTTTCCTCCTTCCCTTCTTCTCGCACGTCTTTTCTTTGTTGAACCAAGTTTACCGAGTGAAGCTCTTTTCTGGGGTTGTCCAGCCTCTTCGTACTCTCCGTTTTCGATTGAATTTTAAAGAAAAATTTATATTAATGAAGGGGAATTCGATGGGAAGTTACGGGAAATAAACGGACCTCTAAGAGATATCGTATCTACTTACAATTGCAATTCTGACAGAAACCCGAAGAGGATATGAATAGCGGAGAATGCAACATTGAAGAGATATATCCTTGGGAAAAGAAAGCCGATAACACGAGTACTTTACGAGCAAGTCTCGTCGTTCTTGTTATTCATAGAGCTGCCACGGGAAATATGAATTGACGCAGCTCCAACGCTTGCTAAGAAGCACTTTCGCCTGGGAAATATGTGAACTTGTTGATAAAATTGAATGGAAGAGACAAGTGGAGAAAAAAAATATTCTAATTTAATTTTTCCTTTAATTTTGTTAAAGAAACAACAATTACAGTGAACGTGTCTTATAAAGAATTCGACTGTCTGCCATTTCGTCTGGCCGCACGCGATTTACACGATCATTCCATTGATTGTTCGAATATCTCTGCGCGGTATTCCTCGTATCTCGGTGAAATTCAATTTTCGGATTTTCCCGTGGGAAAAGCGCGACATTCCAGCCCGGAAATACGATGTTCGCACGCGTGCAAAAATACAATAAAATAAAATAACATTGAACCGAGCAGAGATAGAACGTTTCCATAGTTTGAACTGCACCAGTATCAGTTTCCTCGCGTTCTCAACGAAATACTTGATAAATGGTGTTTTATTTGCGAATGGTTGGAACAGGAAAATTTTTCGCGTGAATTCTGATACCTCTCGGTGGTTCCATGAATAAGGAAAACGTCGGGTTTCCATCGTGAAGCAACTACATTATCGTCGTCCCTCCTCTTTCAGGGGGGAGACGTACTTGTTGAATGAACTTTCATCTTCCTTTCCGATTCTTTTCAAGATCAGCCAGTTCGTCCCCGTCGAAAAGTCGTCTCGCTCTATTTTCCTAAATTATCCTTTGGTGAAATGGAAGATGTCTCCACCCCGCCTTCTTGTCGTCTCCGTCTGAAAAGAATTGGTAACGCGAAGAGGGTGAAAGAGGAGGCGGGGTAGCGAACGATAGGCCACATTTCTCCCGTCACGTTGCACCCACCGCAAGACGTTTTTCATTGTTCTCCACGTACAAAGTAAGAAATACGGAGGAAATTACCTGTCTGCTATCTTTGTTCTATTGTTATTTCGCGCTGCTCCTATTTATCGTTATGATCGCGTTCCCGGACACGGCCGTTCGAAATTGCGAAAAGTCCGCGAGAAACGTGGCTGATATGTGATCAATTGGATCTTGTATGATTCATAGGATGTTCGGAAAAGTTCTGATAAACACGAGTAGAAAAATGATTAATCTTGAAATATAATACACTGCAAATTAGGAAATTCATCGCATGGATTCAAATTATAAATAATGGTTTAAACGATCTAATGAACGTTTTAATAGTAGGAGGTTCAAATCGAATGCCGTGCACACAAGTTTAATACATTTGTCACCCAACCGATAGCACCCAGAGGAGTCGTAGACGCAAGCATGCGTAACAAATATGAATCGATTTGAAATTCAATAAACTTCGATTACAATTGCGAATAAATAGGAGCAAAACGGTGGGAGGAGGAGTCGATGATTCATTCCGATTATTTCGTTGTGAGGTGTAATTATAGTTTTTCTTTGTTCTTTTTCTCACGCCGATAACAGTCTCGCGAGCTCGTGTTATCTCGTCTCGGTGATAAAAATCTTTCTCACATTCTTACAACCGCTCGATTTGAACGAGTTAGAAATAATTGCTCGCTAATTGATGTTAGAAAAATATTAGAAATTTTACGTCGTCGTTTGTTCTTTTATGCGCCATTTTTACCGCGCTGCCGAAACGAACGAGGCAGCGTTAACGCAATGAAAAATCCTCGCGGTGAAAGTGTAACGAGCTCCATTGAACGGTATTAAAATGAAAGCTTACGGAGCGTCGATTCGCTAAACGGTTTTCCAGAGCTAGTCGAGGCTCGTTCGCGCGGCTCAGACACCGCGGAGAAGAGTTCTTCGACGCTCGTTCGATTCCGAAACTTTTCGAGTTAACATGCTAAATTTTCAGCGGAAAATTTTCCGACTCCTCCGATTTACATATAAACTCGGCGTTCGGTCGTGTAAATTCGCGATCGGGAAAATAATCTTTCGTGGAAAACGGATTCGTATTCCGCTGCAAGGAAACCATGAAACTTAATCGGATTTTTTTTTCTCTCTCTTTGGAAATCCATCGGGACCATCGGCGGGTTTCTCAGTCGGGAAACTTACGGGAGCAAAATCGTATCGAAGCCACGCGATCCTCCAGGGGCTACAAAATGCTCCTCGGTCCCTTTCCCTGCAAATTATTGGAATTCTCTTTATTTTTACTTGTCTCAAGTCGCACTCTACCCCTTAGCTGGTACAGGCATCATTGAATTAAAATCTAGATTGATTTAATTGAAAGGAAAGAGAAGAAAAATTAATACCCTTCTTAGACATTGTAGTGCAGCATTGCGTTACTAATTTTTAACAGCTTTAGTGCAATAAGCGAGATAATTTCTTTCTTTTTTTTTATTTCATTAAAAAAATAATTGCTTAAGATTTTTAGCTCTGGTTGCGAATTTATACCGAAGAAGCTTTCCTCGAAGTTACAAGTTGTTTCATAGTTAACGATTGAAAATAGTTTGGGAAGCTTGCGTTAAGTTTTCTCCTACTTTGCATGATCATGACCCCGACGCGTGTTATCGCATGATAGCATGGTTTTTCCCCGGGAAATTTGCGTCCTCCATCGAGAATGAGCGGAGTCTTTGCTGAAGCATGAAGCTCCCTAGAAAACAAACAAGAATTCCCCTGAGATTCCCTTCTCTAATTTTCTGGGCACTCATTGTTGCAGGCACACACGCCCCTTCTTGCGGCTGACACGAGACACGTAAGTAAAGAAAACAGATGTGAACACGGGAAAACCGTGTACCTTTGCACAAATTACTGTAATTTTAGCGTGCAAAAAATGCCCTGGTAACTTTTAGTTCCTACCTTTCCTTTTATTCAGCGTGTTCGTTTGTGTGTATACAGTGTTTTACAAACTGGCGTTCGCAAATAGGGAAAAAAATTGTGAGAAAATAAGATGAAAATGTAGAATAATATTTTTTTCATCCGTTTTATTAAAAAATATGAAAAGTTTACCCCTTGACTGCGGTCAAGTGCAAACGGTTGAATTAAATTTTCACATGGATACTTCTCACGAGAAATTTTCTTCTACATTTTCCATTTATTTTCCCGTGTAGAATGGTCACTTTTTGCAATCGCTGATATTTATCGCCATTTACACGACACTGTGCACTCATGCGGTGCATTTGTTTTCGATTGCCAAAAAGTAATTCGTCCGAACACGTTGCACGAACAGATTTACGATTAAATATGCTCGTAAATAGTCTACCGTAGACCATTAATTTAATCCGCTGCACACGGATTTTACAAATTCCTCTCCTATTTCGAAAAATCGAATACTGCAATAGGATCGTTTTAATTGCAGCGTGACTTTCTATTGTATCGGAATTCCGTTTCAGCTTTTTGCATTTCACTTGTAAAGTATTGGAAGCGAGGTATTTTTATTATATTCATTGCAATTTTTATTAAGAGACTCGAGGTGTAAATTGATTTGCAATAATGGTAGAAAGAATTCTATCTCGGTTTCTGCGTTTCACCGATAATATCGACGCGACTGTGTTTCGATTCGATTATCATTGCTGGTCACGAAACGCATAGGAAACTCCCTAATAGTTTTCCTTCCTGGAGAAACTCCTCGTTCCTGACAGATACGTATATGTTTGCAAGGAATTATTGTCGCCAGACTTAATTAAAACCAGATACTAATAATTGCGAAATGATAATTATTACTGTACCACTGAATTGCTGAGAATTAGGTTTTCAAAATATTACTCCTGGTTTTGTCTTTGAATCGATTTTATCCTCTACTACCCCTATCCGAAGGGATGATATAAATCAGCCTTTATTCCAAAATCTTTCTCTTATTTTCATTTTATTTATTCCCAGTCGTAGTAGGTCACTGTCTTCGATCGTCTCCGTCACTTTCTTGTTATTCAAACGCCGGGGGTTAACCTACCCCTTTTCAGGAGACCCGACAGCCCTTCAAGCAGTACGGTATTCAAGCGAAAAGATTCATGGCGGGCTTCATTCGATTTGCAGGATCGTTTGAAATTCAACGAAGAAGGCACGTACTTTACCCGTGGACCATAGCACGAGGAAATAAGGGAAAGGGAGATTAAAGGGGGTCGCGGGGTAATGCGAGCGAATATCGAACTTGCCAAATCGAGTAAACTCCTGTCTCCGGTTCTTGTAACTTTCTGGGATACCGTCGATTATCTACCTCGTTCCCTGGCTCTTGCTTTCTTTCCCCAGCAACCGGGCTCGTTCATCTTCTTTTTCAACCCCTTTGCAGTCCGGGAAATAGGATCAATTTCGCGCTTAAAGATCTCCATCGAGTTTCCCTGTTCTCCGTAATCAACTAGTAGATTTATTCGCTGTTGGATAGTTGCGATCCTGTTCCAACATATTTCAGAATAATTCACAATAATTTTTTATTATATTCGATAATATTCGAAATTCTACGCGCGACACTTTTCCTTGAGAAAACATTACTCTGTTACGCGTTATCGAAATTCTAATTCGATTAGATTTTTACTTCCCTTCGATTCTATGTTTTCTCTGTCTGGGGTATCGTTCTTGTTATTCGATTTTTGATAGGAAGCTAGTATCGTGTTTCGATATTTTTCCTTTTAAGCGTTTTAACTTTCAGCATCGTGTATCGGTTTTTAAATATCGTTATTCTGTGAACGTGGTGGTTTAAGAGGGTCATCGGTGAACCGCGTTCATAGCGGTTGCCACGTGGTGTGTTGCTCTTCGTGTCACTTCCTGCGCTTCCAGCCCCTAGAATTGCATTATGGTCGAGCGGCATTATAACGGGACACGTCATATAAATCATGTGGAGTGACATTAGCGTGTCGGTGTCAGTGTCGGTGCACGTCCCTCGGCGTCCACGCAAATTACCGAGATTAGTTGCTAACAGCGGATCACCAATCGACTTTTCGCCCTCGAAAGTCCACCTATTCACCCTTTGGGGGTGCTTAAATTAAAGGAAACGAATGTCACTTTTGTAACGTCGTCGCGTTGGCTGATTTCCTCTCGAAGGAAACTATCGTTAAACTATTATTAGGCATATCAGATGTTAATTGTTTCGTTGCAATTTTGGGAATCTCGCTAGGTATAATAAAATATTATAGTTATTTCAGTATCAAAGTTGGATCGTTTTATTGGTGAATGTTAACTCGTTTCAACTTGCTTCTCTGTTTTGAAGTACGCAGTTACGGTAACAGGAATCGCGGAATGAATATTACTATCCGTTGGCATCGGTATTATGGATAATTATCTTTTCCCGTGCATCGGAATGTTGCGCGCATCATGCAACATCCTCCGTGGGAACGTAATATCGTAACGATTAATATTCTCTCGGTTAAAATTAATCAGTATTTAAAATTAACGAAGAGGTCTGTGATTCTGATCATCTATTCGCTTTGATATCGCGTTAAAGCTCGCTGCACTGAATTCTAAGCGTTTTAAGTATAAAATAAGGAAAAACGAAGTATCGCGAGGATGAAATAAGATCGTAAAGTCTCGAACGTAAATGGTACGTGCCTAGGGAAAATGAAATTCGTCGTTGGATGAAGGAAGAAAAGCCTCTGGTTGATCTCTTCATCGATGCTCGGTGGAAAACAGCTAGTAAAGAGAGGACAGAAGTGGTTCATCCTATCAGCGTAAAGCGCAGAGGTCGGTGCAGTAAACTTCATACAAGGATCACCAGTCAAAGCTGTTCGAAATGGCTCTCGCCAAGTTTATTTCAAGAATTTTTCATCATTTTTTCCCACTTCTCCTAACGTCTATTCATTTCGATCTTTCGAAACGTTTTGCTAAAGTGCTTCTAGATATGCCGGTCGGCCAGGTGTAAATTTTGAAACCTGTTTAAACGCTCAATTCTGCTCTAGATTTCGGGACACGAGGGCGTAAAATCGACGACGAAGTCGTTAAACTAAGCTATCCTCTGCGAGCAGATGAAGAAACTTTTACGCAGTGATTCGGTCGAACGATTATTTGCTACTAGGAACAGGATCAGTAAAACGGTACTCCCAACGGATCGCTGTAAGCGATGGGAAAACGTGGGATGTAAATTCAATTTCTGAATCCTTTTATCACTTCCTGTTGAAGGATATTTGGAGGAAATCAGAAGCAGGTGTAAAAACTGACTTTGCGGATGGATCCTTGGTATCTATAGGAAAATGATGATATCAGTTTTTATACGAGACGAATAGATAGCTAGTTAAGCTCTCAAATATCAGCATAAGGTACTGGGAGTCGAGAAAATTTTCACGGAGGCAACAAATGGTTATCATCGAGTTCTGAAAACAGCAAAACCACCGATGAGATAAAACAGCAACGGTATTAACCGAATACGGGGAACTGTAAATTTATTCCGGGGTTGTAGCCCACGTCAGCATGGCATCGCTAAAGATTCCCTGGTCTAAAAGGATTCCGAGTCCGCATTATGCGGGTCACGTACATCTGGTTTTCTTTCGGATTTCTTCCTTCCAATCGCCTCCTATATCCCACGTTTCTCACCGCGGCAGAAGGGCTTGTCAAACGCTGCTTGCATCCACCTTTCGCGCGTAAAATCTCCACCGTCGCCGTTTACGGGGTTACATTTGGGAAAACAAACGATCGACGGTCATGGAAATAGAGCTGAACAGGATAGTTTCGAACGTTTGCATTTTTACTAACGCGATGTCTTCAGTATTTCAGTATCGAATTATCAGTTGATAATAATTGTTGAAGGAATTGTGTTATGATAGGATAATTAATGGGAGGTCGATTTTAATAACAGTGTAATGAATTGGTGAGAATGTTTAAAGGACTTTTGGACGAGGACCTCTTCGCTATGCAATTTAATACCAAGATTAAGATGTTTAGGATGGCACAGCGTGGCAAGAATTTCATATACAGTTTGCTTGGTGTGCGTAACATGTAATTAATTTAACCTCGCATATTTCTTGCGCCGTGTAATTTCATTTTCAACGGTTTCATTATTGTTGGCTCGAGGGAGGGGTTTCTCTCGACGGCTTTTAAATTTACCGATAACCAATTAACTTTAATGAAATGTTTAATAAAATGGGTAAATTTAAGATAGGACTGAATTAATAACAGTGGCAATTACAGATTTTACTTTTCAAACGTCATTTAAGTAAAAGGATTCGTGTCAGCAATTAAGACTTTGTGTCTAATTGTTCTGAAATTTTTTTGTTGTATTCTTCTTGTTATTTATAATAGTAAATAGTATCCACTTCATATGGAATTCATATAATAGTGTTAAAATTCAGATACATATTAGCACCAAATAAAGCAATTAATGTTTTAGCTTTTTTTAGAAAAATGATTTCATTAGCTCAGTTTTGTTATCCATTATAAATAATTGTAAAATTATGGCACGTAGAAAAGTGTAATCATGTAATTACATTTTCTAGCTAAACCACTGTTAATTATAATGCCCCAGCGAAATATGCAAGTCAAATAATAACCGTAGCGTAAATCACGGGCATTAAAATACACGCGCAACCTTCTCATCTGAGATTATACTTTCGTAAATTAACACGCAACACGTAACATCGTGAACGTGCACAATGACTCCGCTTCCCTTTTTCGCCTTTCCTTTCCTTTCCTTTCTCTATCCAATTTTTTCCTCTTCCCTTTCGCAGAAAATGCGAGCTTCGGTATAATTTCACCCCTTTTAAAGCGTCAAAGCCAGACGGCTATTCGTTTATTTTCATTTTTGTTCCTCGCTTTTCACGCTGTTTGTTGCACCGT